TAAGTAATGTTCGTGCAAAATTTTGAGTGAATCGGTTGGAAACTGTAAGTTAATGGAAAAAAAAAACTCCGAATTTTACGTAGTTATTCGTGCATTTTTTTACGATTAACACGAATGACCTGAAACAAAATTAATCAAAACAATTGTTGCGTCATGAGTAATGATTGTGCCAAATTTGAAGAAAATCGCTTGAAAAATCAGGAAATTTTCTCAACAGTAGTTTTCGTTATATGCGGGTGTCTTCACTACACTTGAAGCATAAACTATCAGTGTGTCAAGCATGAGCAAGATCGGTTGAAAAATGTGGAAATGTATAACTCTTCACTCATCCATTTTACTGAATTTGATTTTCGAGTTTAAATTCTGTTAATTCTTGTTTTTCATTTTCACATGAAAAAGCAAATGTCAGTGTGTCACACTTTTTCAATTTTACTCCTATAGGCGGTGGCCCAACATATCATACCATTTTGGAATCAGCCTGACACTTTGAGCAAATTAAAAACATATCCGGACCCGCAATCCTGAAATTTTGGATTCCCAAGTTTTCATTACAGCAATTGTTTCGGCGATTTATTACGTGATTTTTGCGAAGAATTTTTGCATGATAATTTTTATACCTTGGAAATAAATTTGGAAATAATCGAAATTAATTGCGAAATCCAGCGAAAGTTACGCATGAAATAAAAATAATTGTTTATACGGAAAGTAAGGACCTACGTACATAAAATTGTCTTTGAATTAAATGGCAATAGAAGAATTATCGTTGAACTTTTAAAAGGTAAGCTTAAATATTGATATTATACTTAAATGCAGCGATCAATTTTAAATTCTTCTGTAGTTTATTGTTGCCTATCACATCTATTACTCCTTACCTATTTTGTTTAATGCCTAATGAAGATGCTTTCACAGAAGCTAGCTTAAATACCGCCCGATAAACAAACATTCAAAATTTATCTATGACGAACTTTTCTTTGTGGAAGAACAACAATTTCTTCTTTCGCCAAGTAATTTCTAACTTTTGTCTCTTTACAGACAAAAAAAAGTAATTTTACCTTTTAAGCCTTAAGCATTTCAAATTAACAGACGAAGGTAAGACTCTTACTGCTTTATGATTATAAAAATTCTTGAGTAAAAATAGGTTTGTTTAAAAACAGTTTGTTTTAATTCAAACTGATTTATCCATTACAAATCATATTTTATTGACATACACCTTTAACATACCACGCAAATACATTTTATTGTCATATTATTTGGTTTGTGAAACACCAATATTAAACTTTTCAAACTCAGTATAAATTCCCTGAGTAATTTCACCATTCAATTTGTATATTTGTGTATATAAATGCTTTATATTACTGAAAATACATGTTTGTCTGTTGTAGTGTTTGACAGCCTTGTGTCATGCAAGCAAATTTAAATGTTTGTGGAGATGTTTTCATTCACGCAACCAAACCAAACTAAAAAAAAAAAAATCCTTCTGCTCTATAATTAATTCAAGCAGCCATTCACTCCGCAACAAATAAGCCATAAACTTATTCTATCATAACCAAATGCATCCTAATTATAAACAAGATGAAAAGGCAATTAAAAACATAATTAACCGGTACATGTCACTCAATGATCAAACACCTAGAATTTATCATCTACTACAATAAGTTTAAAACTTAATTATTATTACCAACAACACCGGGCCTTATAATTGCTCCCTATGTAAAAATAATATTGTCTATGAATTAACAGTCCCCGCTGGGAGATTGCACTTCCAGCATTAATAATAATTTTTTAAAAAAGTAACAATAAAAACTTACATTGGGCACAGATGCACCACACTCTCTCGCAAATTGACTTGTCATCTGTCGAATAATAAAAAAATAAGCAGATATACCTTTTCTTTTCGTTTTATATATATATATATATATATATATATATATGAAAGAAAAGAAGAAGGCTGACAAAATAAAAAGTAGAACAAAAAATATTTTTTCAATTCTTAAGTTCATTTAGTCAAGAAGCACTTTTAATAAACAGAATTCTGTAAATTGAATTTTTTTTTCTAAATTAAAATCAGAAAATGAAGAAATCCTTAAATAAATGAAACCAATAAACGGAAAATAAGTTTTAAGAGGGGTCGTATCGTTCATTAAAAAAAGTATGGTTAAGTAAAAAGAAAACGATTTTAAAAAATAGCAATGACAAAACATTCTTTAAAAAGATTAGCTAAAATAAAATCTGGAAAAGTTACATTTAATAGATGTTGACACATTCGCGTGTGTGTATGCTTACACAGACACACACGCACGCGTGCATACACACACACAGACATATCTATATATCTATATCTCTCTATCTATCTATCTATCTATCTATATATATATATATATATATATATATATATATATATTCACGTTTTCTATGTTACATTAATGTGATTTATTCTGAATGATTTAAGCGCCATTTATGTTCTTAATACCAAGGCTTGTGTAAACTCGTTACACTCTCACAATTTATCTTTTCTTTTTTCTCTTTTCCTCTCTTCTCCATCTGTTGCTGTCTGTCTTATTACTGGCGACTGCTGTTTTCATAGAAAACGTGTGTTTGCACGCGTCGTGGATGCATGTCACTATATCTCTTTTAAAAATTTCAATTCCGGGATTTTAGAAGCTGTGGATTCAAAGCTTTGTGCTGTGCAATTTTATCAGTTGCTTTGTAATAACCTATTCTTAGTAGTCCGAAGAGAAAGCTTCAAAGAAAACTTCATGCTTGTCATAAAAAAAAACTACTTTTATTCTGCAATCGCAGAGAAATATGCATATCTACAATTTAGTGAAAGGTTTTATGAAATTATATGAAATGTCCTTAGAATTAAGGGCAGCTCCACTGTTGTAATACAACTGACACAGTTTGTTTTGTAAATTAATTCATGTCTTAATTTCTTACTGTAGTTAACGGACCATGAAAAAGCCATTGATCATTGATTTTACTCACTATTTCAGTTCACTGTTTTTCAAATGAGTGGAAGAAGCTACTAACTATAATCTTCGAAATTTCCTGCTGCATGCTAATTCGCCAAAAGTAACATACTCCAGCGCTGCACATCTGTATAAAAATATCGTCATTCACACATATACCTCATAATCAGTGTGAGAGAACAAACTTAAAAGTACAGTTTTCTCCTCATTTAATTTTCATTCCTATAAAATTATTCTTAAACAATGAAAATAAACAATATAAAGGATTTTTTATTTGGTAAAAAGACCATACAAAAAATAATTCAACCAAATTTTTGAGGTAACATTTAATTTATAAGGGCACAAAGAGAGTGCCAGGAACAGGCCAAGAGAACGCTTATTCAAATTAAATAGGAAAACAAATATTGTCTAGCTTAACCAGGGGGAGGGATCACATGTAACCGCCCCGTTGTGACCAAGAGGACTTAAAAAAAGGAACTCAATGTTAGCCCCTTTCACACAAACCAAGCTCGCTACTTTCACCCACCTTTCGCTGAAATCTATCGATAACAAACGCTTTTTATCAGTTCTGATCTTCACCTTCAGCTGGTACTGAAAGAATCCGACCAGAGCCTGATGTGAATAACGTTCGTATCGCAAGATTCCCTCCACCCGCGTCGTCCATGTCAATATTCGAGCCACGGCTAGCAGCGTCAGAAACATCATTCGTTTATTTCCAGAAAACGGGGGCGGCACATTATCGCAGACGTATGTGAGATCGATGAGCATGAGAATATCAGGAGCGATACGATCCGTCAACACGCCGACATAGTCACAGAAAAGGCTCACCAGAGGACAATGGTAGAAGGCATGTGAAACCGTTTCGTCTAAACCAAGGTCACACCGATGAAAAACAGGCAAATCCGCCCAGCCCCATCTTAAGATCCTATCATTGAGAGATATCACGTTCCGAATCAATCGCCAGATAAGCGAAAACTCAGGGTTACGGAGGTAATTCGCCGCTGGCGCCCAAGACCAGAAAGAGTGCAACCCGGCCACCGACACTGGACCGAGGAAAGACCCTCAAGGCCGCTCGACACTCGCTGATGAAAGTTGACAGTTTCCCGGACCTACGACGGCGCTTAGCTCAGGAAATGGGAGGGGTGATAGTAAGGCTAGGGAAAGCGCCCCAAACACTCCCCTCCAAAATCGAATCCTCAGTCAAAACGCAGCGTAACAAAGACAACCTCGAGGAGTGTCGGTGACTCACTAAGTGTGGCATTCCCAGCCCCTCACATGGACGCTGAACACAGCATTCTTTGCGGACCTTCTGCTTGCGACCACCCCACAAGAGGGTGAACAACAAGCGCTCGATGGCCTTCCTATGGTCCTTGCAAAGAGGAAGTACAGCCAAGCGGTAAAGTATAAGAGAAAGACATGTGGCACACTTCAAGGACAACCTCCTTCGAAGCCAAGTCCCGACCGACGCTCCGACTTTTTCCTGTAGTTCTGACCAATTCTTCTCCAGCTGGAGGTCGGGTCCAAACCATACTCCAAGAATGCGGACAGGAACGTCCGTCCAGCCAAAGAGCCCCGGGAGAGGCCTTCTCCGTCCTACTTCGACCAGTTCGTTTTTCCTTTTTTGCTCACTTCCTCTTCCACCTCTCGCCCTCTTTTTAAAGAAGCAGACCGAGGTGGGGGCATTTCCGCCATTTCTACCTCTTGTTGCTGCCCCAATTGAGGGTCCTTCTGCTGAATTTCCTTTACCTTTTCCTGTTGGCACTTCTGCTCCACTTGGGGATTCTTCTGTCCGTCCTTTTGTTGCTGCCGGTCGCATTTCTTCTCCTGCAGCGGCTCTTTGAGTTTCTTCGACTTCTTCTTTGAGACATCCTGCTGGTGGGAGGGGCATATAACTTTTGTCCTCCTCTTCACTACTTCCGTCCATTCTCCAGGACCTTTCCTTGTAACTTTTGCGCTTGTGTCAGTGCTTTCCTTGCCAGTTGTCTGTTCAAGTTGTGGCTCTGGAATCTTCCCAGGACACGTTTTGGATAGATGACTGGTGGCCACCCAGGCCCAACAGAGAGGTCGTCGACCTTCAACCACCACGCATCGCCACAAAATCTTCCCGGAAACCGTCACCATCACTTCCACGTCCTCAGTGGCTATCCCTGCCTTACTTTTAACGGACGAGACACTGGCAACCTCGCCAAATTTTTGAAGAGAAAAATCCAAGTGGTCGAGCGAAATATACAAGAGCACTCCATGCAGGATTGCTTTCGTCTTCCTGGTCCCAAGGTGATCCGTTTGGAACCTCACCGACTTGGTTGTCACGATGCCAGTGACTTTGCCGCGTCCTCTTATACCAACAGGATATTCCACATAGCACTATTTCTTCTGGCCAAAACTTTGGCCCCAATGCTCAGGCTCTTAATTGCTTCCTCCATGATCTCCCTTTTGACGCCGATCTTTACGTCCACTACGGAAGTAAAGATATTCAACAGTAAGATAGCACCGGTAACAATTCATTTTCTTTCACGAAATTCTCAAATTTCTCCGTGAGACTTTTATAATATTCGGGTCCTTTTGGGGCTGGTTTATCACCTGCCCACATCGAAGGGCTTGCTGGCGTGGGTGTCACCTCTTGGAGATGGGATTGCGGCTTATTGTTGGCGTTCGCACGACACCGTTGAACAAACAACACAAACAAAAATACGACAAGCAGAAATTTACGTAATACACCAAAACAAAAAACAACAATACAAGCAAACATGGACCAAATTTAACACTTACTTCGAACTGACGAATTACTTCAAAGACAAGCAAAAATGACAGTCAATCATCCAATAGCAAAACCATTCACATTGCAAAAAAGCATTCGCAACACCTCGACATTGAAAAGAAAAATTCCCTCCCGTTAAATGAGCGTACCATGTTTCTATGCACCTGACCCTGTTTGCACTCAGCCAAATGAGCGCCTAGAACAGCCAATAAAAATGGCTACAAGCGACACCACCACTTCCATCATCACGAAGTGCTGCCCGATTCACCGTCCGTCCGAAGCTCGTCGATTCGCCGTCTCCACACTCCTTTGCAAAACATACACGCAACTCTGGCCCTTTTGGGTTGCCAAGGTAAGTCACCGTTACTTTGATGAATATTCTTATTTGCCCAAGTTTATTATTGTTACTAAATATAATTTTAGGACATTACAAATTCTGTAGAGATTGAAGAGATTGAGTGCGCTTCGGAAGTCCTAAATACTGTGGTTAATATCTTTGTTTTTGGTGACGATTATGTGATATCATGTTATGGGGGCGTATAGGGGGTTAACAATCACAACTATGGATTTTCGGAGAAAGAATATGAAAGCTTATACGCAGTTCTTTAAAGAATATCATTTTATTTTATTGCATTTATCTATTTTATGTTTTTGCTTTTTTGAACGTCACGGCACTCGGCTTTTAATTAATGAATCAAAGTTTTAATTAATTTTAATTAATGAATCAATTGAAGAATCAAATTATCTCACGGAACAAATTCCTCCGGTAGATACAAATTGTGTATTAAAGCAATTCGAAGTCAGCGTCATTAGTTTTATGGCAAGTGATCAATATACTGTTTTAGTTACTTTTTATTTTGAGAAGATTTTTGCAATTTGATACATGTGTTTTTTGATGAAAAATGTTGGTGAGAACCATTTGATGACCGAATTGATAATTTGGAGACTTGAAGATAAAAGAGAAAAAGCGTCAGTTGAAATGAAATCATTTTAGTTGACACTTTTGTTCATTTTTCTCTTTGTTCTGTTTTTCGCACAGTTCAAGAAAGTCTAAGATTATTCCAAATATTTTGATATATTTTCTGTATTTAACTATCAACGCATTTAGACGTTTGTTTCCCATTTTTGTCGCAAGAACACTTGCTGTAACTGCGGTAATTACTAAATATCTCACAAATCCGTTTACCTGTGGAGTGAACTAGCTTTTCATTGGGTGTCCTATTATAGCGACTTTGTTTCAAATTAAGCACAAATTATAAATAAACGAGTCTGTTTGATTGGTTAGATATTTATCCATTTATTTCTCCGGAAACTGCGGAAGTTAATGGTAAAAAAAAAAAACGAATTTTACGGAGTTATTCGCGGATTTTTCGCGATTAACGTGAATGACCTGAAAAAATAATCAAGTTGTTGTGTCATAAGTAATGATTGTGTCAAATTTGGAGAAAATCGCTTGAAAAATCAGGGAATTTTCTAAACAGTTTTTCGCGGTTTTCGTTATACACGGGGGCCGGAAAAAATAAAGTTCGTCTTGGCCACTTTTGAAACATAAGCTATCAGTGTCTCTAGTATGAGCAAGAGCAGTTGAAAAATGTGGAAATGTATAACAAATATACACATACACACAGACACCTGTTTTTTTATATATAGACAACAGTTAAGTTGCATATTAAACACAACAGTTAATCTGTTTACACGTACCTCATATACTTACGCAGTAGCTCATTTAACAGAGTCAGAAGATATTTTTGAATTTCGAAAAGTCGAAGATCACAGTTTAATTACTTATGCTATTAAATACAACAGTCAATCTACTTACACGTAGTCGTAGACATTTCTACAAAACCGTCTTGTACGCTGTTCTTTGCTTTCCTCTTCCCTTCTTTCAACCAATCAAACCTTACCTTACCTTACCTTGCCAAATATAATATAGATAGATTACTATCCGTGGACGTCTGGTTAGTATTACTATTAATAGAAAAAAGATCTTCTTTAGTGGAAACATTGCTGAAACTAGACCTTTTGGTGCTCCAAACTGGTCATGCAGATACACGATGTATATTATTAGTTGATGACTAACAATGTAATGTCAGTTTAAAAATAATTTAAAAAATAGCGAATGGCTTTAAAACAGTGCTTAAAAATATGGTAGAGCGCCGCTCCTGTTGTTCGTACTCTTTGATAATTTTGGGGTAGCCATGAATACTTGTCACACGAAAAACTCATCGATGCCACAATTAAAGATTCAGAGAATGTTGAAGGAATAGAACATGTATTTTAGTGGTTTAAAGAAACAGAAAAGCCAGATCGATAGTATAAACGCAGTTACTTTCATATTTTTTTCGATTTATTCATACAATTTGCATTTCTGATACATCTTGATGAAAAAATCTAATAAAAGAACAAAATTCTTTACGAGAAAATAAAGAAAAATTTAAACAAGGGATAACGTTAAATATGACGTTTCGGTCAGGGTGAAAAATATCTACAAATTTCGAACTTTTTTTTAAAGAACGTTATATCTAATGAATAAAGACAATAACATGACTCCCTATGTAAACAAAAAGCGGTTTTTCTCTTTTCTGCAAGCTTGGAAGTAATTGTTAAGACATTTAATAACAAAACTAATAAAGAAGAAATATTTTTTCTTTATTACAAAGAAAAGAAATAAAATAAAGAAAAAAAAATCTTCGTCTGTAAAATCATTTCTGGGATGTTCTATTGTTAACCCTAGAACACTAACCATGGGTACCCATAGTACCCAGCGCAAATTTTCCTATTTTTAATTACAATTTTCAGTACCTGATTTTCTTACCTAAATAATATGTTTTTTAGTTCCTATTAATGTTAACTCAAAGTACAAAGTTTGAAGTGACTGCATGTAAAATATTTCAAATAAAGATTTAATATATTTTCAAAATTGGGAATGATATACCCATGGTTAGTAGTAGTGTAACTTTAATTGATGGTTAGTGTTCTTAGGGTTAAAATCATTCGGAATGCGAGAGGACATCAAAATCAGGAAAATACGAAAGCGAATGAAACATACGTAAAACACTTTCTATCGCATTCTCTATATATTTATGCACAGACTTATATTCAACAGATGTCCATGTAATATGCACACTCACACATACACACACACTGTATATATATATATATATGTGTGTGTGTGTGTGTGTGTGTGTGTGTGTGTGTGTGTGTGTGTGTGCGATAGAAATTATTAGGAGGATTTGAGATAATTATAATTAAGCAATTCATCGAGTCTAGAATTGGAGCGGCTTGGGGATATTAGTTGTGGCTCGTGGGGGCACAGTCCTATGGGTAAGGGAAACTCGGACGAGTTTCACCACAGAATATGTGATCGAGCGGCGCTCTATCGAGTCTAATTCGCTAACTTCTTCGTCACCGAAGCCCGTTGGTACAGTTGTCATGACGTTTGCCTGATAACGTAACTGTCCGGGTTTTAATTCTCGGTAGTTGATGCGCATATGATATACGACGAAACGGCCGTCCCGTGCTTTCTGCATTCTGTTGAGGTTTCTTCTAGACTCGATGAATTACTTAATTATATATATATATATATATATATATATATATATATATATGTGTGTGTGTGTGTGTGTGTGTGTGTGTGTGTGTGTGTGTGTGGTTGAATGAAAATCAACGAAAGTTCTTTACTAAATTAATTTTTAGAAACTCTGAAATTCTACATTTAAAAAGAAATATCGCCATACTTAGTGAAATGTTGAGTAAAAGCAGTGGCAAACAAAATTTACATATATACGTGGCTGATGTAAGGAAATGGAATACATTTCAACAAGGCGATATTTTCATGTGTTTTTATATAACAGAATAACACAAGAGAGAAAATACACTAGCATGCACACAAAAGAGAGAAGACATTAAAAGTTAGCAATTATGCTGGTGAAACACGTATGTGTATGTGTGTGCGCGCCCGCGCGTATGTGAACAATTTCAGTCACCCATGGAAAAATATCTCCATGCCAAGGAGAAGGTCCCGGTTGGTGTTGTCACTACCGCATGCTAGAAGGAAGAAAGACAGGAAGTGTTCCGTTTTTGTAGCTGTTTAACAATACCCACTAACGGAGTCTTAGCAAAGCCAAATGGGTATAAACCACATGACCTCCCCTATATTATGAGAATTTTAATTTTATCAACATGTCAATAATTTTCGAATTTGTTTTGTCCTTCGTAGGCTGAAAAGAATGGTGTTGTTAAGATGTGAATGCTTAGCATGACAGAGAAAGGTACTTGAAGTACTGTATTATCAGGGAAATTTTCTGTCGAGTATGTCGGTAATGTGTTTTTCGCGTTGGAAAAGAGATAGAAGCCACCGGTAAATTGATATGGCTGTTAAAAATGGAAGGGCCCATTTGTTTTGCCGTGGATTTTATCTTTGTGACACAAATGTAACAGATAGTGAAAGTTACATTTCACCTTCAGTCACCTAAATGCCATACGTGATACATGCTTCGGCGATCATGTCTCTTTCGATTGATAACTCACTAGGCAGAATATTTTCTCGCAGTAGGTTGTCATTTCTTTCTGTGGTCGATTGGTTGTCAACCATGGCTATAGGACCCAGTCTGTCTCGCTATAGCTGAAGGGAGAAGAGACCGATTCATAGATTTCCCAAGGATATTTGTGTGTAACGAACTCGACTGGAATGTTACGAACTTGTCTGGAATTCGAAATTGGCTCTACAATTCCTCATTACGAGCCGGTATCCATTACACCACAACAGACATCCAAGATTATAGAACTGAATTCTTGGAAAATCTCTTTCCAAAAGAATGTGGTAACGTTTTTTTTCCGTACACATATTTTTTTACATTCACACTTCATCATTTAAAGGAAATTCATAACAAAATGTAAATTTCAACGTTATATAAGTGACATAATATTTACATAGAAGCTAAATAATTATTTTCATTCACTCGAAATGTTGAAATTTTGTGTGGAATATTTTAAATCAGCAAACAATTTGATTCTTCAGAGGCCAACTTATTTTCCTTCAATTTCTCAAGTTTGACTAGAAGTCACGGAAATTCTTCCGTGACTTCTGGACAAAATTGAGAAATTGAATTTTATTGCTGGTTACTTCCATTTTTTTATTTTAAGCGTTTCACCCCAAGCAAGGCGAGAAGCCACTGGGACGCAAGGGGTTACAGAAAATTTGGAGCAAGATCAGATAGGATAAGGAGAAGGGCAGTGGATAGATCAAGGCGACTGGAGATGTCGATTGACATTACATTTGAATAGCTGGAGATTATAGCTCTCAGGGAAACTGGAATAGGAAAGGGAGTTTCACAGGCGAGAGGTGCGAGACATGAAGCTATTGGAGTAGACGGCTACATTTAGGAGTTTCGACAGTGAAAGGGTGAGAGCGGGATGCCAGCCTCGTAGGGCGCTTGAACTCATGAAGTCTGGGAACCAGCGAATGCAGCTCCTCGGAGCAATTGCCATGAAAGTATTTGTAAAACAGACAGAGAGAGGCGACGGCGGGTCTGTGAGAAAGTGACTGTAGACGAGATGCCAGAGCAGGGCCAATTATATTGCCTGGAGCTTATCAAGAACCCCGAGGCAAACAGAAGGGGCTCCAGACCATACAGGCTGGAAAATCTCAAAATCTATCAAAAGCTTTGACCCTATAAAGGCTACTTCTCCAGATAAAAGTGGTTATCCTTAAGAATATTAACTAAGAGTTATCCCCGTTCGTAGCGAAACTATTTAACTACCGCTTGAAGGAATGTGTCAAATGAATGCTCTCTTTTCAAAATCGGGTGTGTGCCCACCCTATCAAAGTATATACCCATCAACCTTCTTAGTGTCATTAGCATATTTTTTAAGCTATTATCAACAAGAATGTTGTTGATTACTTCAATAGGGACACTCTCTTGAGCGACAAACATTACAGGTTTCGATCTGCTCAGTCCACTGCTGATAACTTCATAGCCTAACTTCATCTAAGTGGACCTAAATAGATATGTTTATTTCCATTCATTTTCCAACTAGATAATTTTTAATTAATGACCATAAATTAAGCCACGCCAAATGGACGGGAGCTAGATTGGTCGAAGGACAGGTATTGTTAAAATAACGGGGTTTTTTCTTCAAAATTGATGATAATACCTTTTTACAAAGTATTGGTGTGAGTTAACAATAAGAGAATGAGGATGTTATCGGAGCGGATCGATACTTGTGATTGCTGCCCATAGGAAAAGGGGATTTCCCTAATTCTGGTGGTATAATTAGTTTACCAGAGCCAGACGACAAAAGGACTCTTGTTAGAAGATAGGGGAAACACGGAATCTGCTAGCTGCAACATGCCCCACGCCGGTTTTGGCTGAATGTCAATAAATGTGAGAAATCGAAGCAGCCGAGACAGTTCTTGCAGACACTGAGACGGGAGACGATCGCATTGCCTGATTTCACGTGACTGCCTGAAGAGAACCTCCGACATAAGCCTTGTGCGAGACATAACCAAACCGGTTGAAGTATCACGTTCAACTTAAGAAGCGGATTGGGTCGATAATGAGGAATTGATAAATTCTAACGTCAAGACTAACAAAGCATTGTACAAAAGAACGTATATCAAAGCATTTATTTTTGTTCTAGTTATATTTTTCTCACTTGCATCTCCATTTTGCCTGGATCATCCCAATACAACGATTCCCGACGACGATTCGATCTTTGCCAGCCTTATGATCAAACTAGACACAACGTAGGATAAGGCAAGGTTTAAATCAAAGCAATTATCTCATTCGAACGGACCATCCGAGAAGGAGGCGACAATTGTAGCGAAACCCCTCATTCTTTTAGTATTCCATTCGTGAGATGTATGTTCCACTCAAGCAGCTTCTTCTCATGAACAGTTGATTTGTGGAACCGTCTACCAAGAGGATGCTGCCCTGATCACTACAATCTTAACCTCAAGTCTACGGTTAACCGTTAATGCATACATATGGTTTTAAACTGTGCCTCTTACTCTGTAATTTCTACCTGAGTGACTCTTGGATCATTACATGATTTTGAACATCATTGCAAAAAAAATCGCTTTGGGGATATATATATATATATATATATATATATATATATATATATATATATATATAATTATCATCATGATTGGTATATAGTGGTAGGTCTAAAATATGTATTCGTCTACTTCCCAGATTATTAGAGTACACTGTGGGAAATTTATTAATCAAGCTTTGAAATCAAGTTATCTTAGTCTATTATACATTCGTCATTGTCAATCTTTGTGTCTGTTAAGTGAAATACTTGAATTGCTCTTTTCTACACACACATGTATATGCAGTATTAGAAAGTGTGTTGGCTTGTATTTATAGCATTCTGTATGCAAATATGTGCATATATACATCTCAATGCACAGGTACACCAGCATATGCTGGAAGTCATAAACACATGCAAGTTATATATATATATATATAATATATATATTTTGTATATCTTCGCCATAAGGGTATGTGTAAGAGTTGCGTAAATGTTTGTATATGTACATTCGCCCATATAAAGAAAATATGCATACACATAAAATAAATACATACACAGATGCAAACATGCTTGCATGTACATGTACACGCACATGTTTGTGTGCTTGGAGAATCAACAATTTGATAGTACAGTAGGTTAAATAAATAATCGTTCACGATTTTAGCAGCGATATCATTCCCCAAGAAGTTGACAGAGTTGATGTTTATATTTATATAAAACCACTCCAATTAGTAACTGTAGAAATATATAATGCCTGTGCGACTGTAGCAGTGGAAAAATGTGAGGTGTTCAGTTGGCCTAATATAAAAGTGACTGAAAAATTTATCAGCAATAAAAAATCGATTTTTCTTTTTTACCTTTTTCTTAGAATAGCGCAGCAAAAGAGAAATGAATGAAAAAAAGAGAAAGGAGTAAATTTATCGTAAATGCTTTAAATAAAATCGTTTGTTATATTGTACATTACAGTGCCTTTTATGTGTGTCTGGTTTATATATTTTTAAAAGAAAATAAGACTTAATGATGAAGAAACTTAGGAGAAACAATGTGTACATTTTTCAAAATGTTCGATAGCATCCTTCATTAAAAAAAAACATCACAAATTGTATCTCCATGATATTATTTTGTAAATTTATTTCTATCAAACCTTTCAAATCTGAAGACTAACGTCACAAATGCAACAGTAAAAAAACGAATTAAGAATTCATAATTGCCATATTTACATGATTTATTGATTTGTCCATCAAATTATTCTGATTATTTCTTTACGGAGCCATAACTATTGAGTAGCTTTTTGAAATGAGAACCTAACAGCTGAACTCTACCTTTCTCTCTCTCCCTCCCTCCAGCTCTGTCCTTATCTCTCCAACTCTTTCATTCTATCTCTATCTCTCTCAAACACTGCCTTTCTCTCTCTTCAACTCTGCCTTTCTCTTTCTCTCTATTTCTTTTTCTTTCTCTCTCTCTCGTTTTCTCTTCTCTTTCTTTTCTCTTTTTCTCTTTCTCTCTCTTTCTTTCCTTCCATTTTTCTCATTTTTCTCTCTCTTTTCTCTTTCTCTCTTTCCCTCTATCTCTCTCTTTCTTTTTTCACTCAAAAATGTCGACCTCGCGATTTAATTTAGTCTCTCAGCAACCCAATGGATTCACCTATGTCATATTTGTTGACCACAATTGTCCGACATTAAATTTAATCAAACTTGGCTTGCATTAGCATGAATTTGATTATTAATTCAAGCACATAGAGAGGAATAGCGCGATAACCAGAGGAATTCACACTGTATCCGCCGGAAAAAAATCAATTGGCCCAGAAATTAATGATTCGCGAGATACAATCTTATCTTTACTACATTATTGGCTTCGTCATTTATTTGCTTCCACCAACGCTTCTAACATCATTATTTCTTGACAACCATATTACGTTATCAAAATCAAAACGGATTCAGGTAGCAACATTTGTTACTATCGTTACTGTTTATAATATTGAAATTATCATTAAAGTAAATAAAGTCCACTGCACGTGACCTAAACGATAAATGAACTCATTGGATCTTTTCTCTGCTCCAGAGACTTTAATTTTCTTCATGATGCTCAGACATACATACATACAGCGAAAAATGAAATTAAAACATACACTTTTGACATATATATATATATATATATATATATATATATATATATATATATATATATATATATATATCGAGTTTAGTGAGATGATTTTTCTCTTCTATTTTTAGATTTTTTAAAAAACCTTAATTTTAGAGGAATGGACCGATAATAAAAGTTTTAAATTTAATTAATATTTTATGTTTTCCTTATCGACAATATAGAACGGGTGATATACAAATTTAGATGCTATACAGAATACCGGTTACACTTTTACATTGAAAACGCTAAAGACACAGGGATTCTTAGATTTAATTTAAAATTTGACGTCGGTTTTTATCCTTCAATTCTCTAATACATTTGTTTTTATGATTCGCTATTTGCTTTCCACTATAACGCATTGTAATAGCAATAGTTTTTTTCAAGGCGATATATTGTCGGATCTTGAATGCAAATTTCCAGTAGGGGATTCTGAAATTAGCGTAGATTTAATACATTTTTGCTTTAATAAATTAACTTCACTTTTAAGTAGAACTGCATTATTTAAGTCGAAATTGTGACGTCCCTAAACACAGCCTTCGCTCGCTCCTCGCTGTTTCGTTCGGGTGTCGCCGCTCCAAACGTGACGTCCGCCTGTTGCGTCAGTCGTGTTGTCCCGTCCTGTGACGACCAACTGGCTTGGTATCGGTCGCGGCACCCAAATGTGACGTTCTAACCTTTTGGTGATTCGGATGGGAATCTGGTTAGATTCGATATCAGCCTCGTCGTTCCCAACTCGCTTCCAACGTCTGGTTACCAAAGTAACTGCGTTGATCTCCAGTCTGCCTACCCACGTTGTGAATTGATCTTAGGCAGACGAAATCAATCAGTCGTTGGGGCCGTAATGCAAATTGGTTCAAACGAGGGTAGTATCACAAATATGTATAAAAGAAAATAAAATGATAACTCAAAAGTTCAAGGTATCAAAAAAAAAGGATAACAAACTTTATGTCTAGTTGTTGGATACATAGGACTGCGTCTATCTCCCGACCCGTTCTATGGATTGTGACACGTTGTTTTTTTGTTAGGCGAGTTTTAACACTTTAAGTTGTTTGTTCTTTAAGAAATTGGTTTTTGGTGTGTCTTCAGGCGAAAGTCGAAAAAAACTTATTTTGGTGGTATGGATCTAAGTCGCTCTTCAAAATAAATTGTTCTTGGATTGAAGATGAGTTCGGAAGTTGCGCGAATCTTAGTCAGCTGCGAGGACTGCTTCAACTGAGCACTCTGAACTCTTCTGGAAACTCTGCCGAACTCTACGAACTGAACTGTACTCTACTGATTTCTGCTCGCTGCGACTTTGCTTATATGGACGCCGACCAAAACCGGGGTGGGTTTGTCGGCGTTGGAGGTTCCTCGATAATTCTAAATACATATCCACTTCTTTTTATTTTTGGTTTGAATTTTCCACTTTTTTCCATTTTGGAAGTCTTCTCTTACTCCCACCTTCTCACCATACTTCAGAGGGGCGTCAACGGCCTCCCCACTTCTTCGTAGCAACCTCTCATACCCATCCTCTAAATGGGCGGCGGCGGCTTCCCTCCTTGCGTCACGTGATCACCTCCAGCCGGGCGTGTGCGATCCATCTGGCTTTGTTTCAGGAAGAAAAAAAATATATCTTGCTCAAAAAAAAATTATCTTTTTCTTTTCTTTTTTTCCTTAATCGCAGCTCTCATCTTCTCTGGCCGCCAACAGAACAATGCGACCAGTGGTGTGATAACCTCTATTCTCATCTGGACTTCGTCAGTCAGATTTTCGCTAATTATCAGAATGGGTGGTCGTCCAGCAAAACACAGTCGACCGTCGTCTCGAAAAAACAGTTCCATTGTTCTAGTCATTCTTGGTGCCAATTTCTGATAACATAGTTTTGTTATCACAACCGAACTCTAACACCTAAGATGTCTTGTCAAAAAACGGTCAGTCGTTACTCAGGGTTGGTTTCGTGTGCGGCTTTTGACACAGTTAATTTTTCTTATCTATCCAAAGCCCTGTATTTCACCTGTTCTTTGTCAATTATCAAAATAACATTATCAATTATTTTTCTCTTAGCTAGTCGGTCTGTGGTTTGCTAATTAGATGTTTGCCAGCATTAAGCGGCTGTTATCTATCCCCGATAACACAAGTTCGTCGCCAGAACATAGTCGATTTCCTTATCCACTTAGAATTTTTCTGCAATGGTAATGACACCTTTTCGCCATTTGCTACTTATCAAAATAACATTGTCAAGGCCCATGGTCGTGGGTGTTTTTTTTATCATCTATGCTTTAAGTCTCGCCTCTTTTTCCTTTCTTTCCTTTCTCTTTTCCTTTTCTTTTTTTTTTTTTTTTTTTTTTTTTTTTGTCTTGTTAAATTGTGTCACAAAATTATGGCCAGGTTAATTACAATGAACTACTAATGCATTGAGTGTATTGTTTTGTAAATTATTAATTTTCTGGTCATATAATCGTTTAGTTAAAAGCTTAGATATTTGTTATGTATTTCTTGAGATATTTGCATAGCCTAGTCACATATTATTACCTATTATTTCAACTGAACTACAACTGAAAAGGTTATATCTATACCCCAAACATATTGTTAATGTTTTTTAATTAAATAGTATAACTTAATTTTGAAAAAGATTACATTTTTTATTGGTGCGAAGCAAGCAATTTATATAATTCAGTTTGGAAGGAGGAAAAGGGAAAAGGAAAGAGGAAAAAAAGAAACAGGAAGAAAAAGGAGGAAAAAAGAAAAAAAAAAGAGAGAGAAGGAGAGGGAAGGGGAAAGAAAAAAAAGAAAAGACGCGCGCATCTCAGTGTACAGCTAAATGTATCGTTAATATTTTAATTGGGACAGAGCAAGTAATTTTGGACGCTTGCGTTGGTTTTTATTTTTTTTATTTATTTTTTTGTTTATTTTATTCTTTTTTTGTTTTTTTTTATATATATATTTTTTTTAAGAGCTGAGAGTATAAATTCTGTCATGAGCACTAGCACAATTCTTTACACGGTGGCGACCTGTAGAATAAGATAACAGGTCGGGGGTGGCTGTCGGAGCTGATATGATGAATAAGAACCCCTAAATCAGCGATGAAGACGGCTTTCATCACTGATGACCACCTTTAAGCATTCGAATGTATTTTGCGATATCTATTTCTGTTTTTAACAGTGACGACTGGGTACAGACCAGTTGGTGACCGGGGAAGAGAACTGGTGACAACTGGAGAGACAGTTGACATCTCGGAAAGACGAGTAAAAGGGGAAGGCAGGGTTAGCTGCCCCAAATGCAAGCTACTTTAGGAGCAACCCTACAATGTGCTACGAGTACTCAAAGTTTAATATAGCCCCGAGAGATCCAGAGAGAGGGGGTGGAAGAGATCTCTATCAGGACTGATTCTTTGACAACGAACGGAGACGCCCAACCACACTCGAAAGAATGCATTTGTGGAAAGTTGTGCAAAAACCAACGAGGCCTACGAATCCACCAAGACCGGATGAAATGCCTGGAGAGGGGGAGGCTTGACGAACGTACAGGTACAAGCCCTGGTAAAACGGAGGAGGGGAAGGATCAGGAGTCGCACCACAGAGTCCAATCCCTCCAAGCTCAGGTTTCCTCTCCTCCAGGCATGGAGACGAGGAGAAGAATCAAATGGCCGCCTGCTTACAACAAGGAAGCCTGGCAGAATTTCGATAACGACATTTGCGAACTATTGCAACTAGCCAGCCAAGGAAGCACCCAAAATCAGTTAAAATATATGACCACAATAATAACCAGCATGGGATCCGAAAGATTTAGCTATGTTGAATCTAAACAGATAGCAAAGCCAAACACCACCACTAACCGAAGAGAAAAGAAAATTAAAGAGCTCAGAAAGGAGCTAAGATCCCTTAAAAAAGCTTACAGGAAAGGGAACAGTGAGGATCGCCAGCCTCTGGAGGAACTTCGTGCAATACTGAGGAAGAAGCTGAAGAATACCCGACGAGCCGATTGGCACAGAAGAAAGGGAAAGGAAAGAGCTAGAAAGCGAGCAAGCTTCTTGTCTAACCCATTCAGTTTTGCTAAGAAGTTATTAGGAGAGAATCGGAACGGACAACTAGAGGCATCTGCAGAAGAAATTAATACTTTCCTCAGGGAATCCATGTAAGATCCATTAAAGGAACAAGACCTTTATAAGAACGACAGTCTCATAATACATAAACCGCCAGTAAGTCCATTTGATATAAGTATGCCCACCTGGAAAGAAATCCAAGAAGTGGTGAGAGCATCAAGATCTGCTTCAGCACCAGGGCCGAGCGGAGTGCCGTACACAGTCTATAAAAGATGTGGAGGGATTCTCCGGAAATTATGGAAATTAGTAAGGATCATTTGGAGGAAAGGCAAGGTAGTCGAACAATGGAGACGCGCAGAAGGGGTATGGATTCCCAAAGAAGAGAAGTCCACAACATTGGACCAATTTAGAGTAATATCCCTCTTGAACACTGAAGGTAAGATCTTTT